GACATCGTAACAACAGAGGAATGCTTTTTGGTGCTATCTAGAACCCTTTTCAAAAAGGTTCTATATAGAACCATCTACAGCAGATTCTCTGTCAATCTGAAGAGATCTTTGCATGGTTAAAGGGTTCTTTGCATCATGAAAGCTTTCTTCAGACTGATGGAAATTGTCTTTTATATGGTTCTATATAGAACCTTTTTGAAAAGGGTTCTATATAGCGCCAAAAAGGGCTCTTGTATCGTTACAAGCCTGATGTCATAACAATAGAGAACACTCTTTGGTGCTATGTAGAACCCTTTTTCAAAAAGGTTATATATATATATATATATATATATATATATATATATATATATAGAACCATGTATAGCACATTCTCCATCAACCTGAAGAACGCTTTGCATGGTTAAAGGGATCTTTGCATCATGAAAGTGTTCTTCAGATTGATGGAAATTGTCTTTTATATGGTTCTCTGTAGAACCTTTTTGAAAATGGTTCTTCTATTGTTACAAGCTTGACAGTGTACCAATAGAGGAACACTCTTTGGTGCTATGTAGAACCCTTTTCAAAAAGGTTATATATAGTACCATCTACATATTGTCACACTTGCATAAGTAAATGTCCATGTGTGGAACCCATCATCATCGCATTCCTACATACTCACAGACCTCGATGAATACACCGACCATATCAACAAGAAATTAGGTTCTTCTGTGCTGCTGTAAAAGACCACAGTGAGGGGATTCATTGCTGTTTTTGCTGGTGTAATTCATCTATAAATGATCTGAAAGAGCCAGACTGTGGTTTCCAGTCCCAGACTGGGAGACACATTGCTTTGCACATTTTTCTCATTATTTCCCCTAATCTAGCACTGATTCAGCTCATTGGCTAATTACCGAGCCCTTCATGAGGCGAGGCATGCAAGAAAAGGTGTGGAATGCGAAGCAAACGTGCCGAACATAGACAGCAAGAACAGGAACCGCTGGTGTGCCGCTTAGGCAGCCCCACTCATCTTAGCAGTTGAGCTGTGACTGGCAGGAGGATGTACTCATCCAGTCGCATGGCTAGTCTAAACAGTCTGCTGCTAAACGACTCAAAACAGAGCAAGGCCTCTTAGGCCCCGGGGGCATGGCTGCCTGGAATGTCAATCATGGCTGAAGATGCTTCCATGAGCAAAGCTCCAGTGTAATCCCATTTGATGAGGAGAAGATTGTTAATTCTCTATGTAAGAAGATTTCATGTCGCCAGCTGCAGACATTGACTTGACATTGACCGTGTTGATCGTTTTAAATTATTGAGTATTTTAGTTCATCCCTTGAAATTTGCACTAGCAAAGTTTACAAAAGTATAACCAGTTCACTCATAAATAAACAAGACTGTTTGTTATAAACAGGTACCAAGACTAGCTTCACGATGTGGTGGTAAATTGGATCTTTAAATGCGGTAACATCTTAAAAATGATGGATCTTCAAGGGTTCTTTATTAAAGAAAATGGTTCTATATAGAACCATGATGAACCTTTATGAAAATCGTCCTATATAGGACCAAAAAGGGGTCTTCTGTTGTAACAAGCTTGACATTGTAACAATAGAAGGACCCTTTTTGGTGCTATATAGAACCCTTTTCAAAAAGTTTCTATATAGAACCATACACAGCACATTCTTCATCAATCTGAAGAATGCTTTTGTGATGCAAAGAACCCTTTAATCATGCAAAGGGTCCTTTGAGTGTGCATGACTCTATATAGAACCATTTTTTTACCATCTTTTTAAGTGTGTTTATGACCTTCACCAGGCCCATATTAATTTCAGTTACTTTATCAATAAACCTGGCTACATCCTCAAAAATGTAAATGTTTTAAAAACGAGCAATGTTAATATGTTAAACGCGCTTATCAATATGACGCTGTTTATTATTATTAAGTATTAGGTGAAATTTCACCTCTGCATTCTAACCCATCTGTGCAGTGAAACACCACATACACACTAGTGAACACACACACACTAGTGGGCAGTGAGCACACTTGCTGTCCACAGCGCCTGGGGAGCAGTTGGGGGTTAGGTGCCTTGCTCAAGGGCACCTCAGTCACGTACTGTCGGCTCAGGGGATAGAACCAGCAACCTTCCGGTCACAAGGCTGGTTCCCGAACCTCCAGCCTATTGCAGCCCCCAGTCATGAATTTAATGATAATTTCTATCAGTTATCATGTGACTGTAATATGACTAAATCATTCAGATTGCCATTTATTTTCATGAATAAAACAGGCAAAGGCCTCAAGGGTTCTCTAGATTTCAAATATAAGTGACGTCTGTTATGTTCCCTGTGGGGTAGTAACTAGGTTATGAACAACCCACAGTCATACCATTAAGGGCTATGTGCTTCAAATGTCCATAAACATCCTAAATCAGTCTGTATGTGTATTTTAAGAAGAAGCCTTTCAGAATGCAGCAGAACAAAGTCATACGATCCAGTGCTTGGAATGGCTACTCAGTCAGGCTCAGGTTAGTATTGTTTATACAAGCCACGAGATTCATGGCATCAGGCTACACGTTTTTGAATGCCACTTTGTGGGAAACTGCATAGCTTCAGGCTTGTCTAGCTTCGGGCTATGGTGTACACATATTCAAGTATGAAGTCTGTACACAAACTTACTCCGAAAGGATGTGGAAGGCTTTCGCAAAGCCCCGTCTGGTATAAACACATTGACAGCCGATGCATTCAGATCGGCTGAGGTCGGCTCTTCGGCAGCCCTCTGCATGCTTTACTGTTTATAGAAAATATTAGGCAGGTTCAGCTCTGCGTCTGGCTTCTGAGAAGCCGCCGCCACTTAAAAAAAACAAGGGCCTCTCCTGGTGCTCAGTAGATCGCATTGAGAAAATCAGACTCCAAATTAGGTTTGTGCTCCGGTACACAGTGTACTGGTCAGAGGATCCACAGATGTATCTGTCCCTGTTTGAACAATGCGTCACAAAAGGGGAAACAGCATGATTTTCAAGATGGTGTACTTTCCTTCGCCTTCAGAAACGCCATCATCCTCACCAAAAGTGAAAGACCGCATTCAAAATAATAGGCTAAGCACGGTTTGAGACTCAATGGACATGCGAAGGTCACCTTCAAGCCATGGTTGCATTTGCATCCAGTATATTCAAATCATGTTACATTCCAAAGAGGCACAACAGGGGCCGGGCCTGTTCCTCTCCTTCACCAGGAAGGCGCTTGTCCAGGGAAGGCACTTAAGCCGCAGGATATTTCCATAAGTAAATAGCACAAAACTGACAGGATGTTCTAAAAATGAACACGCTGGCAGCGTGACCTATCACACGATGGGCCCAGGGATGATGGGCGAGAAATGGGACGTGTTGGGGCCTGCTGGGTACTTTTGGCATCTGCTGACAATGATGAATGTGTTCTCGAAACTATAAGTGATTTATATTCTGTTTTTCTTTTTTCCCCCATCAATTGTTTATTTACCATGTCATTTTTCCTGCCTGATGATTTATATATATGCGCCGCTCGTTCACTCAGTCATTTGTTTTAGACCTTTGTTCCAGCGCTCAACTCGTAACGTCAGAGGTGCCGAGCAAGCAGCGACCTTGTGCTCTGGCTGAAAGATGCCCACAAGACAGCGTTGCATATGAATGCTAACTAGATTTGAACTTGGCCAAACTTGGCCATATTTGTGCAAGCATGATCACCAGGGATGTGCATTGTGATTAATGATGATATTTGTGTGTCAGCAAAAGTTAATGAGTGTGCAAAATTCAGGGAAAGAAACAGACGAAAACATAGAAATGGACTTTGATTTCACTAGTGCATAAATTCATTCAGCCTGTGAAGAAATACATTTGAAAAAACATGTTTTATTATTCAAAGATAGCCAAGTGGAGGATGTCTCTTCTGATGGGATAATGAATACTTCAGCTAACCAGTACAATGCTTGATATTAAAATGAGGACTTGTCTTCTAGAGGAGATCTCTTTTTTCAGTTGAAGATGTGCCAACATATTATTGTCAGAGAAATATCTTTTCATTGTTTATATACCTGCTTTTCTTAACCCCTTACCAAACCATGCTTTATTACACACTGTTAACCTAAGAAAAGCTCCGTTAGTTTGCATTGAAGTCCCTGTAGTTACTGAATAATAAGCCTTATTATGTAATGAGCCTGGAATGTTAAGGGGTTAAGCTACAGTAGTTAGCCTAGTTAGTGAAAAGCCATGCCAGAGCCAGCATGCTATCCCGGCCTTAGCAGAACAATGTGAAATTGGCAACGCACTCATGTTAAGGTATGTTTTATAGTAGCAAAGAGTTCTATACACATTCTCAGATATTCCTAATGTTCTCTGAAATGCTCTTCCAGAGTTTAGGAGCTAGATAAGAAAATTTTCTTCCACCAACTGAGCTTTAAGTGATCCTGGACATTTGTAGGAAGCCTGCCTTAGCTGAGCAAAGTGGTCTGGATGTGCTGTGACACTTCAAAAGGTCAGTAAGATATGCTGGACTTAGGCCTGTAAGAGCTTGACCTGGTGGTTGATACAAAACCACAAAGAGGGGCCGTTGTAAACAGAAACAAATTACTTTTTTATTGAAGCAAAAGCATTTATGTCATTTTTTTAAGGTTCTGAAAATGCATATTGATTTAGACATCTCCAAACTTTTGACTGGTAGTGTACATATTCACGATCATCATCATCAGTTTTATTTATATTGCACCATGGTCAAGGACAGTTTACAATCAGAAAGGAACAAAATACATAATCAACAATACATAACACAGAACACACACACACACACCTATACTTGTTTTTGTGAATTGTGGGGGTCACCTGGAGGAATTGTCACATTGTGGGGACCACCCTTTCCAAAGGTCCTATAGACTTGAAAAAAATCATGCTTTGTCAAAATGCACTTGTGAATCATAATATCACTTCAAATTTCAAATATCTCACCATAATGGATTCTGACCTGACCTGGAGGTCACTTGTGGGGACATTTCAGGTATTGAGTATATCTGAGGACCATCATTACACACATCACCCGTTTTCATTCTTTGTGAGGACCAGTTCCATGCTGAGAAGGAACATTGCTTTTTTCTTCTTAATGCAAACAAAATTACTATTCCAGATAGATGCATTAGTTTAGAGACGTATTTATTAGTAGCAGAATAGGTATTAGATGTAGAAAAGTTAAGAACATACTGCAGCAACTCTAACAAATATGCATCTTGCAATAAACCTTTTACCTTGAACAACCTTGTCCACATGACCAGATTAACCAGACCAAAGAAAACCATCAAAATTAACAATTTAAGTTAAATAATAAAGCTCTGGAGATTCTCCATTCAAGATACAGTATGTGTTGACCAAGTCTTACACCTGTCTCTGCAATGCTGTGATGCGATTTTTTACGTAGAACTTAACAGCTAACCAGTCTCTGTTTTTAAGTGCCAGTGGTTCAGCTTCTATACAGCGAACACAGTCAGCTTTTCCTGGAACTTTCCAGCTTTGAATGAACCTCATCATGTGGTTCTCCACAGCATGGATTTCATTAACACTCCAGGGTGTTCTCTTACAGGGACCTAAGAGATAAAAAAACAAACAAATCAAAAGAAATTTTCGTATGCATAAAATGTCATCAAAGCTTTGATCTTTAATCAAACATGCATTTGGCACAAACGGCATAATTTATTTCAGAATTGATTGCGTTTGCTGTCATTTTACAGGAATTTTTAAAAAATGACCAAAAAATGAATGAGATGACAGTTTAGAATTTCAACTTTTATTTTCTGATATTTACATCTTGATGTGTTGAACAACTTAGAACAGGGCACCTTTGATGGCAGACCACCCAATTTTAGGTCAGCAAATGTATAGTAACAGAGTCTAAAGTAAATTAAAGCAGATAACACTTTATATTTTGTTGTGTATCCCTTGCTTGCAGTAACTGCATCAAGCTGGTGACCCACTGACATCACCAAACTGTTACATTCTTCTTTTGTGATGCTTTTCCAGGCTTTTTACCACAACTTCTTTCAGTTGTTAATTTTTTGGGGGGTTTCTCCCTTCGTTCTCCTTTTCAGGAGGTGAAATGCTGCTCAATTTGGTAAAGGTCCGGTTAATGCAAGAAACACCTGTTAGTCACATGTTCTAATATGTTTGCTAACTGGAAAAATGGGTGGGTTCAAACAAAAGTTGCCATATTCTGACATCTAGATGTAAATATCAGAAAATAAAAGCTGATCTATGAATGAAAAATGAAATTCTGATCTATCATCTCATATTAATCTTCTGAGCAAAAACACAAAAGAATTGGCCTTTACATTCCAAAACTTTTAGAGGAGACTGTATGTGGAATATAGCCGCAGTAAACAGTTAAACTGGATCAGGGTTGTAATTTATATGTATAAAGTGGAATCCAAAAGTCATACCACTAGTGAAAATGCTTCTATTTTGCATTGTTTTGTAACTTATTGCCAAGTTTTTAATTAAAAATTTTATCAGCATGACTGTGTGAAAAGTATTTTGTACAGTATGTCCCCATTTGCTTTAATGACAGCATGTGTTGTCAAGTTGGCATGGACTCTACAAGTTTGTGTAAAAGCATCTGATGAGTAGATCAAATGCACCTGAGAGTCATATGAACACAAGCTTCAAGAGATAAGACTACAAAACAATCTGACATTTTATACAAAGACCTTAACACTGTAATAGTGACCAAAAAAAGTGCCAAACCTTGCATATTTCTTCTTCATTTTACTTAGTCATAGCTTTGCTTTGTTTTAAAATTTTCAAAAATCTTTTGTTCATTTATAATTTTGACTAAATCCCAAATTTCTAACGTGGTCTCAGACTCTTTGCTTCATGTTTTTATTTAAAAAAAAGTATTCACAAGCATAACAATAATAACAATAAACAAAATAAGTAAAAAAAATAAGTTGAAGTTTAAGATTCGTAAAATTTTTACCATTTGAGGCCGCTTGCACAACCTTTATCTTTAAAGCTGTTTTACCTAAGGTTGTTTGCGTGACTGTTCAGTCATGTTCACATGTGGGAATATCACTGTCTTGCTGTGGTTTGTATGAAATAAATACAAACAACAGATTTGGTAAATTAACTCTGTTAACCATCATTACGCATAGGTCTAACCGACAGACTGTACACGTTCTGTGTACAAACATAAACACTAAAGAATCATCTTTGGATAATGACCTTACCTCTCTTTCTTTTAATTGACCTCAGCAATTGGCCTGTCTCACCGTCATTTAGCCCTGCACTGACTTGTGGTAAGGACAAGTTGCATCACACTCTGAAATAAGAAAGGAAAGAGAAGATTAATACATTTTTGGCATTATATTTTCCTTCCTGCCTTCCCTATTCTAATATACCTGATAAGTCCAATTCATCACATATGTAAACAAATATAAAAGTTTAAAATCTTTGGTTAATGACCTTACCTCTCACTTTTTTGTTTGACCTCAGCACTTGGTCTCCCTCCTCGTCAAATTGCCCTGCATTGTCTTGTGGCAATGACATGGGTGCATCACACTCTGATAAAGCCATGTAAATGTAAACACCTAGCATCATTCTGCCATATCCTGCTCCTGTAATGCTCCTGCCCCGTCATTTTTCTTGTTTGCTGTTGTAATACATTTGATTCAACTAATACTGAGTAGAAGTTGGTGTGTTACAGCAAGGAAAACACTAAAATTAGCAGACCAAGAGAACTCCCATGACCATTCTGTTTGTCAAAACAACAGAACAGACACCACACACATTACTTATTTCTCCCCCTGTCATTAGGCAAACAGTACTGTAGAATTCAGTCCAGAAATACCTGAATGAAGTTTCTAAACTCTCCTAAACTGCTATCTTTGGCATATTCACTAACGTGAAGCTTTACCTCACTCGTGCTGATGAAATACTACTGCTCTATTACAGCATTTACATAACACACATATACCGCACAATACAGCTACGCTGTAATATACCCCAAGTCCTGTAAAAAGTGTAAAAATGTGCATTTTGAAATATACATAAATACACTGACTGTATGCACTTCATCATGAATTTGCTGCATTTTTGGTCAATCAGAAAAATCCTGTAACAAATGCATTTTAAAATACCCCTTCTATGTAAGTACATTCACAAGTTTTTCTGACGAGTAGTTTTAGATCAAATGTATAAATTAGCTTAAAAACAAGATTACTAAATTCAGGGTCAAGATCTGTCAGGCAAAAGTACTGAGGACCTTGGAATGCAATAATCCAGACTGTACAGAAAGTCATAACATTTGCTACCTTAATTCTAGGATAATTAAAGAAAAAAAAGATTGGGGTATGTTAACCACTTAACGGTCGTACTGCTTTCAGGCTCTTCCAATTCACTGTCCACTGTAACTTGCTCTAAAGGCAGAAAAGAGAGTACAAATAAAAAAGTTGTAATAACCATACTCTGAGGTATGCAAGTTATAGCATGTGTTCGATTCAAAAGATATCACAAATTATTTTACACTCAGTGTTCTGAAACTCTGTATGGCAACAAAAAATCATAAAATCACTGTGTGTTGTAAGAACGACTAATTGTGTGGTGTATTGTACCATCAGGATCAATGTTGATTTCATCAAGATTCCTCCCCTTGAATTCTGTCAAGCGACCCTTCTCAAATGCTAGGAGAATTTTGCTCAGTTTAGCCAGTTGGAGGGTGCCCTCAGGTAAGCGGTAAAACTGACGATGCACAACGAATGTCATGGCCTAGAAAATCAGCCAACTGATCCAGCTCTGTGTTGCTGAGGTTTAACACTTCCGAGAGGGTTCCAATCTGTTTTCTTAACTTTGTAGAGGTGAGTGTGCTGGGATTTTTCACACCAGAAGCCTTTGCAAAATCCCGGATACAGTCTGAGCCTCGAAAGCAGGTCATTGCAAAAGGGCGTGCAAAGAGGTAGATATTTTTCCTGAAGTACTCCACATTTACTTCGATTCTTTACGAGCACGTCAAGTGATTCTTGCATTGTTGGAGTTACAAGAACAGCAACCTTCCTGCCTCTTTTGCCTCTGATCTCTATTCGTTTGAAGTGTTGACAGAGCTTCTTTTCCAATTCTGAGAGGGCCAGGCAAACATCTGGATGAGGATCTGATGCATCTCTGGAAGTGTATGCAGACAAGGGCATGTGAGAAACTTCTCCTTCACGTCTCCGATAAACAGCATCATTTGCGTCAGTGTGACCTTTGCTAATTGTGACCAGTGCTGAGATGAAGGCTCCGCTGACAGCATTTTACGGTAATGGTGCTCTTGCTCATCAAGATACAAGTGAAGACGTTTAACATCTTCGGTGAATGGAAGCAACTGAGGAGAGTTCCATTTGGCTTCCTCCAGTGTTCGCCGAGCTGTGGCTGAATATACTCATGCCATCTGGAGCTATAGATTTTCTGGAAGCTGCTGGCCTCTTTTGCTGTTGCTTTGTCTCCTTCTATGGTGGCACTGCTTTCAACAAGCATAGCAATTCTGTTCAGGCTATGCCCAAGTTTCACGGCTACACTTGCTGATTCATATTTATTTGTGTCTTTGTTGTAACCAGCTGTCTGCTTAACTGCAGTGACTGTATGCATGAAGTTTTCAGGACGGATAAGATCTTTAATACACTTAAGGGGTGTGACCTCTTGTGTGCATATTTGGAGTCTTCCAAGCTCTCTCATCTTCTGACGGATGTATTCGTGCATTTTAACCTGCGATCCATACTTATTATACAGATGCTTTCCAAAATCAATTATACACTGGTCATTCCGGACTGCAAGAGCCACTCTATCTTGATTCATGGCACTTATAAGCTTCCAAACCACCATCAGTTACACCTGGTGGGGGATGGTGTCGCGAAAGAGCACAGAGCCTGGACACGGGTTTTTCCAGGTTTAGGTGTGGAGTCACCAGGCTTGAATTTGCAGACTTTTAAACATGTCGCCACAATGTTTTCTTTAAAAACAATCCCTGACAGTGAACACAAGGAATAAACTCTTCACCATCTGAGAGTTGTTTTTGGTAACTTGCGAGGAACTAGTTTTCCTTTGCCTGTTTTCAATACAACAGAATTGTGCTCAAAATTACCTTTTGTTACGCAGATACTCTAACTGCATTCTCCTTTTTTTGGATCCCTTTGGATGACTTAGTGCCTTCGCTACCTCCACCTCTTGGAATGTTTACGCTCCAGGTGTCTTGCAAGTTGGAAAAAGCTAAGCCACAGAACAAGCAGTGCTGTTTTTTGTCATACACTCTCCCACCATCACTCTTTTTGCTTACAGCAGGAATAATCACTGAGTGACTTGTGCTTTCTTGGTCAACAAATGATGTGCTGTCTGGATTAAGTGTTTTATCACAGCTGCGAGAGTTCTGAGTGTCCACACTACTGCTCTGAAGATTCACACGTTTCCGCTGCTGCTCTGAATCTGAGAGGTAGAGCTGCTGATAATGTTCTGACAAAGTGGGTTTGGGCTTGTACTAGTGCTCTGAAGTGGAACAAGCAAGGGGCCTTCTTTTGCACTTGACGATGGAAATTGTGCTACTGTCCTGAACTATCTTCTGAGGTATCTGGAATATATTCTTCCTCACTCCCTTCACTGTGATCAGACAGCTCCTCATTGGTGTCAATACACTCATCCGAGTTATCAGGACTCTGCCCTCTGAACTTAAAAAACAGTGACAATTTAACTAATGAAATCCTGAACCACATATAATCCTGTCTGATGAAATGTAAAATATGAAATGAGAAATTTAAGACTTACTTGACTGCTTTGGTCGTTTTCTTAGTGTGTTCCCGCCCATGTGTGTTCCAATTTTCTGACCTTATCAGCACCTGCATGATTATTGTCCATACTGCTTTTACTGGAGTTGTAATTATCATCAGTGGAGTCAAAAGGTCATCTGAATAATCAGAAGTCTTCTCTTGTATCTAAGAAAACAATACTGTACTTCATTTAAGGCACTCGATACTTATTGTTCAACTAATAATCCTAGAAAATAAACAGAAGATTTACACCAAAATGATAAATGCAAGAAACAGAATCCACTGCAATTATCAAAGAATATTATTTTAAAAACTATAATGATGCTTATTTTAAAGCAGTTTAATTATAACGCAAGGATATTCAATTTCAACCATGTTCAACCTCTAAATCAGAATAAACGTGGAGTAATGGGTAACGCCAATTTAACAGTCAACGCATTGTGGAAAATCTGATATTTAAATTTATATTTGTTGAGTAATACTGCCAGATTATTGATCCATTAGACATTTAATTGTGTGATACAAAAGAGTCAGGCCTAACAGAATGCTTTTTATTTTTTCTGAGAGTTCATACAGACCCTTAAAAGAGAGGTTAAGGTCAGAAAAAATAAACAGAAGAATTGCTTCTATTTTTTTTCCAGTGTTTTAACTACAGCATGCTGTATTCCACCATTACGAAAACAATACAAATATTATTAACGATATGTAATAATTTAGTGGGTATTGCTTATTAAGCTGACACCAAAAAAACTGATGTCAGAATATGAAAACACTTAAGGATATACCTTTAAGGAAGTTCGAGCATTGGTCACAGGACCTGAAGCTGAGTGGCTTGATTCAACTACGGTCATCACGTTAGCAGCGTCCTCATATTCAGGCTACAGGAGTTTCAAATATCACAGTTAAACATTTCAATACATCTCAAACACAAGTATATCATTATTTAAAAGGCACTACAGAATTTCACACCATGTTTTTATCAGTGTCTGCTGCTTCAAGTTAACCAGACACAGAGATACAACGTTATAGAAAAGAGTGTGTAAATGACATCAATCTTAACATGAATCAAAAATTCATATTACACCCATAATGGGATTAATTATGAGAGTAAAAACTGCTATTGAGTACAACAGACCATATGTTCTTTTATGTGTTCACTGCTCTGCTGGTTCAGGTTGAATAGACAGGGTCCCCAGTATACTAAACCTGACAGTGTGTGTAACCAATACCAAACTTTCAGACTCGTGTACAAAGAGGAAACTATTACAAATTCATTTCAGAGACTGAATGACATTGCTCATGAGGGCATTTAAACTGTAATTCAGAAATAAAGTCTATATATTGTACTGTGAGTTTAATGCTCTACTAGAGGTTTCTACCTAGACATGGTCCCCACTATACTAAACCTGACAATGTGTGTAACCAATACCAAACTTACAGACTTGTGTACAAAGAAATAACTATTAAAAATTCATTTCAGACGCTGAATGACATTGCTCA